GCCTCTCCCTTCACATAAATAACAGTCTGGGATGATCTCTCACCCACCTACCACCTATTACCTTTAAAACCTTAGGGCTCCAGTTCTGGCACAGACCAGTCAGGTGCAGGGGCATTCACACTGAGAAGGAGCCCGTGTGAAAGCGGAGAGTCCTTCAGAGCCCTCTTGGACCTGGCTGGGGCATTCTCTGGCCCCTGAAACCTTTGGGGGTGTTGAGTTACCTGACCTTGACTCTCACCTGGTTGTCCACCCAGCCTCAAGGGCAATCAGTCTGTAGTCTCCTGGGCTGCGTGGGGCTGGGGACCTTCCATACCCTATCTCACCTCACCTCCCAGCAGCCCTGCAAGGAGCCCTGGGCTAGCTAGCTGGGCCCCCTCTTATGGACACTGCTTCTCTGTGCCTTTTATAACAATTGTAATAGAACCATAGATCAGTACATTGTCTAACATTAATATCCTGTGAAGTTCGTGTCTCCTGGTCTCTATACCCTGGCACTAGAAAGAATGTGATAAACTCAACTAATTATTCAACGTTTAGTGTCTTTTCTAACAGAAGATGAGTTCACGATGTCAGCGATGACACGTACTTTAATCTGTGTCTCACTGCCTGCCTCTAGCTGAGCGTCCTGCAGTGAGACAGAGGCCAAACATTAGCTGAATGGATGAGTGAATGGCCAGGACTATCCCCATCCCATGTTATAGCTGAGGAAACCAAGGCTCTGATTAGGTGCCTTGCCCAAGTTCACACAGCTAACAGGCGGCAGAGCTGGGTGTAGGCCCGTCTGCTCAATATAGGTGTTCATCTTGTTCCCTTCTGCTGACTCCTGGGCAAGGGTTAGCTGGTGATGCAAAGGTTCTGTCTGCATCTATCTTTGCTGTGACCCACGCAGTATGGCGCCTTCTCTGGCTAAGAAGGCTGAGGCTGACTGATCTCTCCCCTGCCTAGGCAGAGCTCCAGGAGTTGGGTCTCCCTCCAGAACAGCCTCTGCTGGCATGTCCCCGAGGCCCTTGTCCCTCCCAGGTGTGGGAAGGGCACAGCCCCCACCCCCAGCCCTGGCACTGTCAGCTGCAGCAAATGCAGGTATCTGGGGTCGGGTAGGACGGGCAGGAGGGCTTACAAGCCACTGGTGGACATCCCAGCATGGGCCAGAGCTCCAGCTGACCTGCCCCGTCAGAAGGGCTAAAACATTTCTATTTGTCACCACACATCAGATGGGGGAGGCATCTAAGTATCTCCAGGGGTCTCCAGGGGTCCCCTGGCCTCTTGCCCACCTCTGCCTATGGCCAGTGGTGGCTCAGCACCAAAGCATCCTACAGGCTCCTCGGTCAGTCCCTGGCTGCACCCCCGGGAGGTGTGTGCAGCACAATTATTCTCCTCGGGGCAGGAGAGAATGAGGCCATGGAGAGTGGGGGCCCCTGCCTGTCACCCTCCCTACCCAAGACAAACTCTTCTCCCCAAACACCCATCAGTCTCTTCCTCTTCCTTAGATCCAGGCCCAGCCTGTCATGCTGTAGAGTTGATTTATTTTTCTTGTGGCCTTGCTCTCAGTGGGGCTAGAGAACAGCATGTCATCACCCTCTCTAAATATTATAACTCTGCAGAGAATTGATGAATGTGACTCATCACCCTCCATTCTCCAACTAGAGAATCTCCAGGCCTTTCTTTGTTGATATGAGTGTGATCATATCATAAAAATAACAGTAACAATAATGGCAGCTCCCAATTACTGAACACTTGTTCTGTGCCAGATACTGTGCTAAGCACTCTCCCCACGTTATTCCATTGACTGTTTGCAACCCTATTAAGTAGGTGCTCTTCCTATCCTATTACGAAGATGAGGAAACCAAGGTTGAGAGTGGCTCCATTCCTGTAACTTGTCCTGGTCACATGGCCAGGAAACAGCAGAGTAGGGGCAATGTGCAGAACTGCTTAACTCCAGAGCCACCGCCTAACCACTGTGCCCCACCAGCTCTCCATGAGCCCAGCCCCAAGGGGTGCTTTTAAACTATGATGTCACCCCTCATCTGCTACTTAACCACCAACCCAAGCCAAAAGTTCAATCCCAAAACAGAGATCAGAGCCAGCACTGTGTTTCTACCAAGGGCTACAATCAGTGCTGCCGATAGAACAGGGAAGGAGGACCCAGAGGGATATGTGCATATGACTGCTTGCAGTTGGCCTCTGATGTGGACCAGCCACCTCTGTCCCCATGAAAAGCACAGCATCTTGGTTTTTCTCTCCTTTCATCTCTTTCCCGATTACTGTCATTGATCCTGGCACATCCCAGACAGAAATGCCCCTACTGTGGCAGGGGTCTGATGTGTAGGCCACTCTGATTAGGGCAGTGTTCTTTTATTAACCCAAAGTCACTGCTTCCATGGGAGGGGGACAGAGGGAGGTGTCACCCCAAGGGTAGTCACCATAGAAGAGGCCTGAGTCAGCCCCTCTGACCAAACAACCTTGCTGGAGGGCTGTGGGCCCAAGAGCCAGCACTGTGGAGTGGGGATTAGGAAGATGCCTGCCGAAGGGAGAAGAGATGGTGAGAGAGGGCAAGGAACTGGGCCGAGGCACAGGAGTGGCCGGTGAGCTGTCTGTGCTGGCCAAGGCGGGCTGGGAACCTGCGTTGGAAGTGCCAGACTGCTTCGGAGCAGGGAATTTTCTGGATTGTCTTTGTATTCCACTGAATGCGTGAAACCCACGCAAAGCTCTGTGGAGCTGACAGCAATCAGGAAAAGCACCTTCGACCATGCTGTGCCAGGGACAATGCCTGGGCCAGTGAGGTGGTGAAGACAGGACCAGGAGAGAAACTTCCAGAAGGGGGAGCTCAGTGGCTTGGCTAGTATGTCTTGGGACCACTTGGTGGGCAACCCCTTCCTACTTTAAACTTGAGCCCATGGGATCTGTTCTAATAGGGAAGTCTGTTTCCTCACATGTTCTAAGGAAAAGACCCCTGGATTTTAGGAGCTGCCATCAGACAGGAAAGGCCCCTGGTGGCTCCTCAGTCACAGAGTGAGACAGACAGGAAGCCAAACCTCCCTCCTGCCTCTTCTCTGAGTCTTCCATTAGCCTGAGGGGTCCCCAAGCCTCCTTCCCACAGAATCCTCAGACACACTCCTTTCTCCTGGGCACATAAAAACATTTGTCTGGTAGTCAGGCTGGGTAAAAACTAGTATCAGAAAGCATACTGGGGGTATTTCTCCCACTTAACCAACTACGAGATCGTGGACAAGGTACTTCATCTCTGTGCCTCAGTTTTCTCTCCTGTAAAATGGAGAAAATCTCAGTAGAGCCCTCTTCTTTGTTGTGGGGATTGTGAGTAGAACACACTTAGGGTGGTGCCTGGTTCAGGCAAGCTCTGTGTAGGCGTGAGCTCTCCCTGCTAGAGGTCATCAACCATGGGAGGGCAGAGGTGGGCCGAGAAGGAGCAGGGAAACAGCACATCTGCACTGCCTAAAGGGCTCAAGCCCAGGGGTCTAGCCTTGGACTCCACTTCCCACTCTGCACCCAGCTCAGCTGCAACACCTTCAGGTCCTTCCCAGATGTCGAGATTCAGCCAGGGGCAGCCTTCTTCCTGGGAGACCAAGGTGCCTGCTGCCTACACTATTCCTACCTGACAGAGGAGTAAGGTGGGCTGGGAGACCCCCAGAACTGGGGGCCAACATGTTATGCAGGCACATGTCTCTCCCAGAGGCTTAGAGTCTCAGTTTTGGGAGACAGACGGAGGACACGCAGGGAGAATCCACAGTCTCAGATCCCAGGACACAATTGGGAACTGGGCAGTCCTGCTCATTCTGCATTAAAAAAACAATGCTTCCCTCACCCCTGCTGCCGTCAGCCTCACCTTCAGAGTGTGTGCGTTTGTCTATGTGTGTGTGAGAGAGAGAGCAAAAGAGTGAGAGAGAGAGAATTTGCACTATTCCACTTAACTGCTTTCTTGAAAACTCAGCCCGAGCCTCCAAAGAGTCCTCTTTACACCAATCTTAGAGGACTCATGAGTCCTAGGAAAACTTGCCTGAGGAGAAAGAACTCTCTAGAAGGCAAACACAGCAGCAACTTTTCTAGGCATATGGGAGGATTATCGGGCTCTCCAGGAAGCCATGCTGGATGAAGGCCACTGTATTGCTTTGTGTCCCCGTGGAACTCATAAGCAGATTTTGCACTCTATTAATCTACATCTGTTTGCACGTCCCTGCTGTCAGCAGCTTCTGTCTAGGGAGGCAGCAAACACGCAGGGAAAGCAGCGTGGGCTCTGGAGCAGCCACTTGGGTGCAGCCTGGCTGTACCACTGCTGGCTGCGGGACCTTGGGCCCTTGCATCTTTTAACCTAGAATCCATTCCCTACCTTTTTCTTTCTCCATGACTGACTTTTTAAAGACTACATGATGTAGACTGTCCTATGTTTTGGATTTGTCCAGTTGTTTCCTCATGATGGTTTTTTTAATTTAAACTTTTCATGACAGAAAATTTCAAATAGAGTACATATGAAGTAAATAGCATATATGACCGATCTATCGACTGGGCATGCTCATAAAGGTAGCTGGCTTGCAGTGTTATCAGGAGGACTGGTGATAAGGTGGGCAGAGCCTGGTCCAGTGCCTGGCACGCACTGACTGAGGAGGCATGGAAGCTGCCAGATGGTGAAGATATGATGATGGTGGTGACATTTGGGCCCCAGTCTATGCTTTCCATCTCTTTTGATCGCCTAGGAGCTCCTTCCCAAAGCAGGTGGACTTGCTTCCTCCTTTCTCCTCCTCCTGTTTCTATCCTCTTCCTGCACAGCCTCACTGTTCCTCTCTCCCTACCTCCCAAAAAAGTTACATGGACACCATGATAATTCACACCTGGAGGGGTGGGGCTGGCATGCTATAGACAACACACTCTCCAAAGTCACCAAGCCACACTGTTGGGCTGTGCCCACTTGAAAGGAGGGAAGTGGGATGTCTCCTTTGGGGTCCAGTTCTCCCTCCCTTCCCTCCTCCTCCCCCCAGCCTCACCCCTACCTCACGTTGTCATGTTTCTGGATGTAAATCTTATGGAACATCATATCCTCCTGCTTGGCGTTGATGTCTGCTTTCATCTCCATGGCAACATGACGGGGAAGGACAGACAGCAGGAGCCGCTCCTGCGGAGGGAAGCAGATGCTTTCATCACCGTGCCTTCCACCTGCCTGGCAAGTGTTCACTCCTCCACAACTGTGCCTCTGCCTGCAGCACCCTGGAGGCTCTCCTGGGACTCCTGGGCTAACACTGTGTGTGTGTGTGTGTGTGTGTGTGTGTGTGTGTGTGTGTGTGTGTGTGTGTGTGTGTGTGTAGATCCTTCCACCATTGGAGGGCAGAGGTGGGCACAGAAGGAGCAGGGAAACAGCATATCTGCACTGCTTAAAGGGCTCAAGCCTAGGAGTCCAGCCTTAGACTTTACTTCCCACTCCGAGCTCAGCTCAGCTGCAACCCCCTCGCAACCCCGGTGTGTGCGTGCAGGCTACCTGTCCCCTCCCTGGGACATTACCTGATCCTTCCGCCTCACTCGCCGCATTTCTCAGAGAAAAGCGCTTCTGGTGAATCTGTTAGTACCGAGCACCTCGGGTTAGAATCCTGAATGTCACCTGAGACTCTGAGCGACCTTGGGCATATTACTGAGCTTCTTTGAGCCACGGGTTGCTCATCCATAAAATGGGGATGCAGTTGTTGAGAGCATTAATGAGATCTACTCCATCAGTTACCAAATATTTATCGAGCACCTACCATGTGCCAGGCACTATTCTGGGGACCAAGAGAGTTAACACTGAGAGTGAGGCAGGTAAGTGTCCTCCTTCACAAAGCTTCTGGTGTCAGGGGGGTCTGGTGCACTACTATGGGGACACTAAGCAAGGACACCTGATTTCCACTGGAGTAGTCAGAGAGGGCTTCCTGGAGACTGGAAGGATGGGGTGGGGAGGAGGTGCTCCAGTTCCACCTGGGGGACAGTGGCCCAGGAGAGAGAGAAAGCAAGCTGACTTTGAGAAACAACGTCACAATCAGCCGAGAGAAGCAAGTGGAGGGGCAGCCACATCACAGAGGCACAGAGGTCAGCCTGTATGGAGTCTGAACTTTGCCCTTTTTCCGAGCTCCTCTCCCAGGCCTGACCCGCTCCAAGATGCCCAGCTGCCTCTGTGCCAGGTTCCCTGCCGGGCTGGTGTACATCATTCGCTCATCTCCAGCTTTTCACTTTGGCTGCCTCCAGCCCTTCTCATTCTCCTGTCATTCACTCCGCAGCAGACACTGGAGTCAGCCTCCCAGGTGGCCCTGAGACTCTTCTGTTTCCGTGTCCTTTCTGCTTCCTCTCCCTCCATCTGGCCACAAACAAGGCGTGTCCCACCTCTGTCCTCGCCCCATTCACACCTGCACTCTGGGAGTAAGTCCATGGCCAAGGCTCCCACTGTAGAGATGGCTCTATCATCCACTTCCCACATCCCTACTTCCCATCCAGGGCTTGCCAGCCTCCAGCTGCCCACCTGGATGTTATGCCACCACCACCCTGACATCGCACCAAAACCACACTCACTTTCCCACATTGTCATTCCACAATCACTTTTCTTTCAATTTCCCTGTCTTTGCCTGGGACAGCCCCATTCTGCTACACAGTGTCAAGACCCTGACCACATAAGTGGCTTTTGCTTTTCGGATCTTTCCCTCTGACACTCATTCCACTGCCCTCAGCCCCAGGCCCTGTCCAGCCCTTTCCTGCTGATCTGGAAACAGCTCTTGCACTTGTCCTTTCTGTTCTGCACGTTCCTCCACTGCCTATATGCAGTTCTTACCTGGCTATCGGATTCTGGTTGCAACACCCTGGACAGACAGCCTCCCTCTGACCTCCCTGACGCCTGCACAGCCCCAATCTCTCTGAAACACCACCTGTGCCCAACACCTCCACAGGTTTCCTAGTTCCACCAGCCACATCAAATATAGGTTCTCCCAGACCCACTAAACTCACTGCTATTTTCTACTGCAAACCAATGCCCATGTCCCCCTACCCCCTTGCTATGCCTCACACTGGCCTGGCCTGCTCCTACTACCCCCATCCTGGCTGCTGCTCCTCCTTGCTGAAGCACCTCTTCCACCCCAACCTCATCAGCCTCTCGCAGCCCAGGCCACCTTCAGGGCCAGACTGGATGGGGCAGCCTCTGGATCACCTTCCTTGTCTCCAAGCTTGCTGCCTCTGGTCCATCCTCCCCACTGCAGGCAAGCAACTTCTTTTCCTGAAACACACCAGACCACATCCCCTTCTAAGCCTCCTGATGCTTCTGAGATCAGCCCATGCCCTGGCCTCAAGGTTTCCATGACCTGACTCCTCCCTGCCCTTCCACCTGCTGTTCCAGCAGCCCTGAAATGAAATCCACACACCACTCCAGATACAGCAGAACACAGAGCCTCCCACCCCACTGTTGAGCACAAATTCCTCAGCTGGCATCACCCTCCTCCTCCACTGCTCCTCACCCTCCTTCAAGGTCTCCCCCTTCCCAGGAGGAGGTCTCACTCTGGCTGCTGGCATCCCCTCCCCACCCCCTGAAACTCCATGTCAGTTGCCTGTTAACTCTGAGGAGAGACCACCTTGGGGACTGGAGCTGTGTCTTGTCCAGTGCCATGGCCCAGACCCTTATGCTTGAGAGGCTGACACATTAGTGAAGGGTGGTGTTCTCTGTGGGTCGGTCTGGTCTCCCCAAGCAGCAGGAAACATGACCGCCAAGGTCAACTCTCAGTAAATAGTTACTGGTGACAGGAATAGGAATTAAAGGGCAGTGTGGGATGACTGGGAGAGACTGTGCTACAAATTGTCTGGCTTCATGAGACGCCTTCCTACATTTACAATCACCTCCGGGGCTGAGGGCCAGGAGGGATGGGCAGGGGGCTGCTGAGGAACAATTCTGAGCCCACTCATCACAGGGCACCTAGAAGTTCCCCAGGGAACTCCAGCAGCTCTTTCTGCATGGCTTGCCAGCTGTGGCCAGCTCAGAAGCACCTGTCCACAGAAAGCTTCCCCTCCTTAGCATATTGGCTCCGAACATGGAATGGCAAAAATATGTTTTCCCCTAAATCCCTGTGGATTTGGTGGAATGTCCAGACTGGCCCAGGCCAGAGCAAGGAAATTGTGGCAAGTTGTAAAATGGTAATTTCCCTGGAGAAGTGAGAGGGGCAGCCCCGAAAATGGAAGGAGGAGGAGGTATCCTGATCTCAGGTGAGAGACACTGAGGCCTGGAATGGGGATGAGATGACAGGCTTTTCAGGAATGCTGAGGCCTGGGGGTGAGCATGGTGCAGTGTACCAGAGGTGAGGTTCATCTGTCAATAAAGGCCAGTGGGAGGACCCCAGGGACATCGCCAAGCAAGGGCTTCCTTCAAGATGCTGGACCCAGAGCACAGACAGGGCCAAAGAGTGAATGCGGAGAGCCAGGCCAGGGACTGGTCAGTGTAAGGCGGGACCTGACAAGACATGGCAGCCACCAAGGCCGTGCTGGATGGGAAGTGGGGACAGATGGGGACTGGGGGGCCTGGAGAGGTACTACAGAGCTTTGCCCCCTAGTTTGACTGTCTGCACACCACCAGCCAGGTCACAGTGACCCACTTAGGATGTAACCAGATGGCATCAAGGACGCACCCCTGCAGTAGTAAAATGCTATGCTCTCAGGGTGGCCACAGTATGTGCTCTAGGCTGGCCTGGAAGTGCGAATGACCACTGACATCTTGGCCATTTCTCCTTGACCCCCACCCTCAAAGGCACACCTTCCATGTTCGTATCAGCCATGGGGGCTGACACAGCATGTGGGACTCAGGCCAGCTCCACTGATGCTTGCTGAGGGTCTGGGGAGACAGTAATCTAAGAGGGGAGAAAACCCTCGGGTTTGGAGTAGCCTTATCTCATAGAGGCCAGTGGGAGACCTGCAGGACCCACCCACTCTCTCCCCTAGGGCCACACAGGCCTCTCATGTGGAAGCCATATCGCAGAGTCACCAGACTCCTACCTGATTCCCACACAGGAGAGGAGACAGTGGGGATTGAGACCTGGAACCCAAACAGGACTCCACCCCCAAAGCAGGAAGGGCCGGACCCCTGATGTGGCCCTCAGCCCTGCTCCCACCCCACCCGGGAGTGGTGCACACAGGGCAGGCCCCTCTTTTCATCAGGAATCTGTGACCCTGGGAATGGCCTGCCTTCCCTGGACCAGGCAGGTCTAGGGAGACATGGGACTGTCTTCCTTCTCTGAATCACCAAACCCCAGAACTCAGAGAGAGGAATAGCCAGGTGTGGGATGCCTCAGGGAATGACAGCTCCTGTCTCTTGTTCTCTCTCATCCCTCCCCTGCAGAGCACCTTAATCCCCTGCTGGCTGCTCTCCTTACTCCAACACAAGGAGGTGCAGTGCAGAGAGGGAATGCGGAGCGGTGCAGGGAGCGGGTGGGAGTGCTTCGGGAAGGAGGGAGGGACCCTCTTGCTGCTGGGCTTGTTTGCAAACCACAGGGACACCACATGGCTATGGGCATCTGGTCTTGGGCACAGGCAGGGTAGAACTCCCTTCCCACAGGGTCTGGAATGCTGGACTCTCTCCAGGGGAAACATTCCCCATGGGCTGGGCCCCTCCCAGGGAGTGGGGCTGGCAGCTGTAATGAGCACCCCCAGGGGCTCATTTGAGGCACATCTCGGGTCTCTATTCCTTCCCACTGCGCAAGGCCAGGGGCCCTCACTCACCTGCTGCTGGTTCTCCCTCTGTGAGTGGAGCCGCGCCTGGATACACTCTCGGGTCTCCTGGAAAGCCTGCCTCTGGGAGACCTCAGCCGGGTAGTGGGTGCAGACGCCCACAATGTTGGTGCAGGAGAAAATGAGGACATTGGAGACAAGCTGCAGAAGGAGAGAGGAGCAGACCAAGCTCAGATCCTGACCCTCCTGGACCCAAAGCGTGTAGCCCTCAGCCCCCATCTCAGCAAACAAATGCTGAGGGCACCCCACACGTGGCTGACCACTGGGAACAGCTGGGCATAATCGATCAGGCTCTCTGATGTGCTCAAAGCCAGAAGCTTGGCTGGCCTGTCATGGGGTATGTCCTCTAAGGACACTGAATCACCTAATAATCATACTAAACATGCCTATAGTACCAGAAATTAAAAGGTTACATGTACTGTGACAGAGCTGTGTGTGTGCTGGGGGCAGGAGGGCCACCAAAAGGAAGGTGCCACGGGGGTGATGGGATTTCCCTTTTGAAAGTGTGATAAAATCCAGCACAGGACAAAGGGCCACCCTCCCCCAGAGATTAGCTCTGACAAATCAAGGCCTCTCAAACCCCCTCAGGTCCTCAGTGCTGTGCTAAACACTCTAGGTAATGAAAGAAGGACAAGGCTGGCTAGTCGGGATCTGTGGTCACAGTGGATCTCCACTCCTTCCTCCCTGGGCCTCTGGTCTTTCTGTTGCCAGCTCCCTGACAACCACCGCACCAGCCGGCCAGTGCCTGCCACCTCTCCCGCTCCTCAACAACTGAAACGTGTGTGTGGGAAAAGTACCACCGACCCTCCAGGTCAGCAGAGTCGAAGCTGGAATTCTTTTGAAGGGAATACGTACTGAAAAGCTAAGGGAAAACGTAACACAATACAACGCGACATGCAAAACAAGGTTATACGGCACACTCAGATCCCAGAGAGTGATGTGTAGGCAAAATTTCTCTTGGCACATAGAGCTCCGGGAGTATCTGAGTACATGGGTACTATTGCCCTTGACTCAGGGCCACGTGGGACAGAGCCACACAATGATGCTCTCCTATGCTCTCCTAGGCTGTGGGGGTTTTGAGTTGCACCTCAGTTACTCCCTCCAAAAACTTCCTTCTTAGTTCCATCTCCATAAGGGGAGCTGGGGTCAGCCCCTGCACCTTCTGTTGTGGCTCCCTCAGCCCTCAGGAGGCCTGTGTTGGTCCCACATCCTGGGGTGAGGAAGGCATGTGGCCATCTGGATCCTAAAGAGCTTTGCTATGGGACGTCGGCTGCCTGGCAGTGGCCTTGGCAGATGACTCCTACGCTCTTCTCTAGGGGTCTCTTGGCTCCCGACTCAGGTCTGCTTTCTACCTAAAGGCTTTGCGCATCACAGCTTTGAGGTGGTCCTGGCCTTCATCCAGAGTCCTCAGCTAGCCTGGGACCAAGGCCATGGGGCTCCTTGCTGGATGTGGTACCATCTTTCCCTGGAGACATCCTATGGTATGTGTACTCCAGTCCATGAAAAGACTTTCTCTTTCCCATTCCAAAGTCTTACTCCCTCCTGGCTGAAGAATGCCCTGAACGCCCCAGGTGCCTCCTGGATATGCCTTTCAAGAAGGGGCAGGTTCAGATTTCTAGCTCCCCTCCTTGGCTGGCTACTGTTGCTGACTGATAACTCTCACATCCTTTCACCCCAACCCATCCACCCTAGACAACCCCATCGCTGTCATTTTATATAAACACATGACATAGGAAAAGCCAATATATCACAAGGAAAGAAGACCCCTGGTCCTCAGAAACTTACAAACTACTTCAAGAGTGTTACAGATGGAATGCTTGTATCCCCTAAAAGGACCACTGAAACAAAGAGCAGCTGGATGAGCCCGCAACTTCTGGAAGACTCATCAGAGGCAAGAGTGCAGGAATGGGAGACAGGTCCAGACGCTGCCACAGAAGCCCAAAGCATGAGGGAACAAAGACCTGCATGTGTCTGGGAGCCAGCCAGGGCAGAGCTGACTCCGAAGTAAGAGCCCCTAAGACCAGGGAGAAGAAAGTCCAGGAAGAAATAGACCATGGTTTGCAGTAGTAACCAGTGTAGTGATTATGAAGTGAGACCCTGAAAACAGGCCTCTGGGAAGTCACTGGGAACCACTGGGAGAGGATAAGGAAGAAGAAATGAGGAGATGAAGGCTGAGGGGTAGTCCCACAGGGAATTCTGAAGGATGATCTAGTTAGGGGAGATTTGTGTGAAAAGAGAGGAAGGTGCCAGGTGATAAAAACAGCAGTGAGACAGAAACTGGGAAGGAGAAGATGAGGAGCCAGCTCAGACAGGCTAGTGCCTCATGAAAATATTCTACAACATGACCAAGTGGGCTCTATCTCAGGAATGAAGGCTGGTTCAACTTAAAAAAGCAATCAATGTAATTTTCCATATTAAATTGAAATTTTTTTAAAAAACATAGGATCATTTCAATAGTTTCTAAAACATCATTTGGCAAAACGCGACATACATGAATAATTTTTAAACTCTTGCCAACTTAAAAACAGAAGGGAAGTCCCTTAATCTGATCAACGGCATATACAGAAACCTGCAGCTAAATTATGTCATACTTAATGGTGAAAGACTGAATGTTTTCCCCTAAGACCAGAAACAAAGCCAGGTTGTCCCCTCTTGTCCCTCATGTTCAACACCACACTGGAGGTCCCAGACTGTGCAATCAGACAAGAGAAACAAAAGACACACAGATCAGAAAGGAAGAAATAAAACTGTCTCTATTTGTAGATGATATGATTGTTTATGTAGAAGAACCTCAAAAAATTTAAAAACTACCAGAATATGCAAGTTTAGAAAAGTCACAGGATACAAGATCAATATACAAAAAGCAACCATACTTTTATATATGAGTAAATACCAATTGGAAGTAAAATTTTAAAGGTATAGTTGGCTCTCTGTGTCTATAAGTTTTACATCTGTAAATTCAACTAACCTTGGATCAAACCCTTCAATTCGGCAACTGTACATATTTTCTATCAATGATTGGCTCAATCTGTGGATGCCGAATCCACAAATACAGAGGGTCAACTGTACCATGACATTTTATATAAGGGACTTATATAAGCATCTGAGGATTTTCATATCTCCAGGGGGTCCCAGAACCAATGCCCTGTAAATACAGAGGGCTGAGTGAATCATTTAAATAGCACCAGAAACCATGAAATACTTATGTAGAAACTAAAGAAACTAATAGAAAATCTAAAATTGGTCTTAATCTAAGACCTGTTCACTGAAAGCTATGAAATACTGATGAAATAAATTTTTTTTTTTTTTTTTTTTTTTTTTTTTTTTTTTTTTTTTTTTTTTTTTTTTTTTTTTTTTTTTTTTTTTTGAGACAGAGTTTCACTCATGTTACCCAGGCTGGAGTGCAATGGCGCGATCTCGGCTCACCGCAACCTCCGCCTCCTGGGTTCAGGCAATTCTCCTGCCTCAGCCTCCTGAGTAGCTGGGATTACAGGCACGCACCACCATGCCCAGCTAATTTTTTGTATTTTTAGTACAGACGGGGTTTCACCATGTTGACCAGGGTGGTCTCGATCTTTTGACCTCGTGATCCACCCGCCTTGGCCTCCCAAAGTGCTGGGATTACAGGCTTGAGCCACCGCGCCCGGCCTGATGAAATAAATTTTAAGACTTTAATAAATGGAGAGATAGACCACGTACAGAAAAACGCCATGTTCCAATGTCAATTTTCCCCAAACTGATACATAGATGCAACACTATCACAATCAAAGCAATAAAAATAGCCAAAATGGTTTTGAACAAGATTGCCAACCAAGTTAGCAGACTCATACTACTCAATTTCAAGACTTACTATAAAGCTACAGTAATTAAGACAATGTGGTACTAGCATAAGGGTAGAAATATAGATATATAGAATAGAATTGAAGAGTCCAGAAATAAGCCTTTATATTTATGATTAATTTTTGAGAAAGGTACCAAGACAATTCAATGGGAAAAGAGCAGTCTTTTCAACAAGTAATCTGGAAAAACTGGGTATCTACATGCAAAAGAATGAGGCTGGAACTCTTACCTCATATTATACACAAAAATCCACTCGAAGTGGATCAGAGACCCAAATGTGAGAACTACAAACATAAAACCCTTAGAAGAAAACATAGGGATAAATCTTATAACCTTGGATTAGGCAATGATTTCTTATATATCACACCGCACATACAAATAACAAAAGAAATAAATTGATAAATTGAACTTCATCAAAATTTTAAAACTTTTGTGCTTCAAAGGGCACCATCAAGAAAGTGAAAATACAACCCACAGAATGGGAGATAATATTTGCAAATCCTATTTCACACCTTTAGTTTTGAGAAATGTATAAAGGCAATTACATGAAAGGAGTCTTTTTAAAAATGGTGCTAGATCCTCATTTGTATGGCAGTGAGTAAAAAAAAAAAAAATGGTGCTAGAACAATTAAATATTCATATGATAAAAGCAAACCTCACAAGTATACAAAATTAACTCAAAATGGTTCAGAGGCCTAACTGCAAAACCTAGCATACAAATTTTTAAAACAATGAGATACTACTACACACTATTAGAATGGCCAAAGTTAAATTAGATTAAAAATGGGAAGAAAAGAAGAAAGAATTCAGTTAACAAGTACTGGTGAGAATACACAACACATGAACTCATACTTTCCTGGTAGAAATGAGAAATGGTACAGCCATTTTGGAAAACAGTTCAGCAATTTCTCATCAAGTTAAATATGCACTTGCCCTATGACCCAGCAACCTCACTCTTATGTATTTTTTTCAAATGAAATGAAAAGTTACGTTCACTCAAAAATCTCTGCATAAATGCTCTGGACTACTACTCAGCTATAAAAAGGAACAAACCACTGATACACACAACACAGATACATCTCAAATACATTATGCTAAAATGAAAGAAGCCAGACTCAAAAGCCTGCAGATTCCATTTAGATGGCACTCTGAAAAATGCAAAACTGTGGGCACTGCACATAGATCAGTGGTTGCCAGGGAGCAGTGGGTGGGGCTGACAACAAAGGGGCAACACAGGGAAATCTTTTGGGGTGATGAGACTGTCCTGCATCTTGATTGTATTAGCAATTACACGTCTATAT